ATTGTGATTTTTGTCTTTCTATGGTTTCTATTTAAAGGACCCCTAAAATTTTGCAACCTGTAAACCACTGCAGTAAGTATGTCAAAAGATCCCAGGTTAAATAAATAAGATAGAAATAAAATATGAAAATGACAACATTTTTTCTTGTAAGTTTTTTAATGGCTTCATTTTATTTTTATCATATTTTTAGATTTCTTTACAATGCCGATACACAACGCTCGCTGACTCGGAATGGTGAAACCCTGTTGGCTGCTCTGCACTTCTTCAACAACTCTCTGAACACACTAACTAACAAAACCATTGAGGATACTCTACTCACCATCAGACAATACGAAGCAGCCAGGTTAGTTTGTAATGTGTATGTGCTTGTCTTACCATTTCTTGTTCAACACATTTCACCAGGATTATAAATGTTGTCTGCTGGTGCAACTGTTGCACAAACATCCATTAAAATTGTGTACAGCTACATTACCGATACATATTGAGAACATTCATTAGAGCTTTAAAGTCGTTGTTAAACCTTAATAAACATTTGTGCAACCAACCATTTGGGGTGGTTTACCAAAAAAAAAGCAGCCCTTGCTGAGTTTCTTGCATGTTTTTTTCTGTACACGGTTTATTTGAAAAAGGTTATAGATAATTTCACACATCAAACTAATAAAAATATGCTTTATTAATCACTTGTTACAAGGAATTGTTCTTGTCTTATTGACATCTTTTAATCTACTAGCATCGGTTCTGTGACATATCACAATGACGTCATAAAGACTGTTTTCGCAGCTATAAAAAAAAGTTTATATTCTAATTAAATTTAAAGGCAATGAAACGTTTTATTTTTCAGAAATATTTGTTATAAGACCTGTTTAAATTAAAATAAACAGCCGCAAGTATTACTTCATACACAGTAGAATACCCATTTGTTCAGGGTCGAGTACGACGCGTACCGCAGCGAGCTGGAGGCGAGCGGCGGCAACCCGCCCGAGCTGCTGCTCGCCAACATCGAGCGCCACCGGCGGCACTACGAGCGGCTAAGGGACGACTCCGCCGTCAAGCTCAAGCTGCTGCACGAGAACCGGGTGAGTTCATATTTAGTTTATGTAAGAAAGGAAATACTTATTAGCGATATTTTAAAGTAGTATCTCTCTCCAAATTGCTGTGCCCGAAGGGGTCCATAATGTTACTTTTGTTTTTCTTTATAAACTACTGTTGGTGACCTGCTACGCAAACCTTTTTGGCATGTTTATTTTCTAAATTCTCAGTTTTCATTCATACTTTTAGACTTATGAAAACAAATGTAAAACTTCAGTGAGAATACTAATATACAGCTGTGACGGTCTGTTTTCGTGGTTTCCCTTGCAATTACCTGGTAGCCAAATCTCTATCTTTTTTAACTACATGGTTAACATCTAAGTAGATTTTTAACTTCACCGTTTGTGACTATCGCACGCTTAAAAAATCCACCAGCCTCAGGTAGCCCGAGGTGGGACGCACGACCTTTCGCAATCCGGACGATATCTCCAACCACTGAGCTACCTGGGACCCGAGAGGACTGTGTCAGCTGGACTCGAGTCCCACCCCAAGATACCTGTGGCTAGTGGATTTTTTAAGCATTGTGAATGCAAAATTTATCAAATATAATGATTGTTTATACATGATTAGTAGATAAGTGGTAGTGAAGAAGACCCGCTTGTGGTCTTTGCTTCCTTTTTGACCATTTGGCACTTCGAGGCGAATAACGAATAGGTAAAAAAAAAATTACTTTATCGTGAACGATTTTTAAAATAGTGCATTACGGCAAAACTAACACTCATATGTCAAATTTCACTTCCTCGTAATTTTTAAAATGGCCAAAACATTTGTAATTGAACCCCGAATCCCGATCATAAAATGGCAATGCATTTAGGGTTGCCATCGTTAATGTTTCAAAAAATTGTCAACTTCATATTGAGCGATAAATAAAAAAGCAAGAGACCAATTTAGAAAATATGCTGTCAAATCGTGTCAATGCTATAACATATGTATAAAGTTATCCAATAATATAACACGTGTATAAAGTTAAACAAATTTCTTTGCTATCAGTACTAAAATGACAGAGAAGCCGGATGTTGGTAAAAATCCCGATCGTATTCTTATTTGACTCGTTTACTACTAGATAAAGTCTTCTAAACTTTAATTGAGACAGTACGATTTCGAGTCGTCACATTGCTGTCTCGCTTCCTACCGAGAAGAATATGAGGAGGTAACATATTAAACGACCATTATTTGCTGGTGTTCCAGTCCGCAAGACCAAGTCAAATAAGTTATATTATAACCTACATATAATCCTTCCAACTTAATAAAGTTCCTTGAATTATTTTTTTACTTTTCCCAAACTTTTTCGAAGTCTATTTTTTTATATACAAAGAATTATAATATTGTTTTCCTTGACCTCATTCAGAGCTCCATTTTAATTTAATATTTTATCAAAACAGGTGAAGGTGATGAATAAACAGTTACTGCTATTTCACAACGCCGTGTCCGCTTACTTCAGCGGGAACAACGTAGCTCTAGAAGCGGCCGTGAGACATTTCAACGTCCACACTCCGACGCAGCCGCCGCAGCCACGCCCCGCCTAGGGAACAGACCACGCGGGAAACTAAACTAGTCAACACTAGTCAACTATATGATGGACTAGCTACTGGCTGAAGGCACTGTTGGTGAGAGATTGTAGTACTACTCGTAGAGATTAACATGACGCCCAAACGGTCCCGACCACCAGTTGAACTGTCAGCAATATTCGCCTGCTAATTAATTCATAATTATTTTAAATTATATTTCTGGTGACGGATGAAGAAGAAAAACGAAATTTTGTCTATTTTTGAGTCCAAAGAAACGCATTTTTCGATAATTTATAATGCAGCAGAAGAAGCACCTGATATTGTCTCTGATGTATAAAATAATTGTTACGGATATGATTATAAGAACTTTGAATTTTCATTTGTGGACAAATAGAATAGGGCGTAAGGTCTCATTGTGATTCTCAACTACCTGCATTTTGCCATTGTGGTATCTACCTGAAGGCCAATATTATTAATGCAATGCCTTTTTGCACATCAACAGTGACAGATATTTTATTATTTTGTGATCTTGTAACAAAAACTGTGCTGTCATAAAGAGTAGTAGTTGAAGTACTATTGACTTACTTGAACCCTACTGGTGTTATGTTAATTTGTACGAGTTATAGTCATAATCTAGTTCGAATAATCCTCTATGATATTGTTGACGAAGTGACAAACTTAATAACATTCTCTATGAATTCATCTTTTTATTATAATTTAAGACTAAATTCAATTTACCATGGAATAAGTGACATTTTATTTTTGAATATGTAATAACTTTATAAATAAGTGATAAATATATCCACAAGAAAATATTTAAGTAATGCTTGTCAAATCAATATTTTACTCTTCTTTAAAAACGCATGAATATATTATGTGGTATTGTCATTTCCTGAATAGTATGTGCTATAATGTTCAGGTGAAATCGATATTCAGAAAAATTCAGCATATGAAATTACGAAGTGAATTTTTTATGAATAATCCTTTTTAGACAAAACGTGAAACCAAAGCTGTTTTGAATATATTTGATGTAAGACAATAGGTATCAGCTTGGGGTCACTAATACCTATTGTCTTACATCATCATCACTGATGAATATTCTATAAATAAGTTTGTGGATAGTGCAATATCGACTTTACCTCAACACTTCGAATTATTGCTGACAGGGTAACATTTATCTGTCAAAAACTCCACTATAGCTAAGCAATAAGTAACTGGCAACACAACTTACATTTTTATATAATCTTGTTAGCTCACATATTTATATCTACAAATAATGTTATTAGTCATCAGTCAACTTACTAGTCCAGCATATAGTGCTGTATTAGTTATTCCCGCCAAAATAAAAACACTAATCCAACATGTATTTAGGGCCTAGTTAGTTAAGAGACTTATGTGATGTAGGGCCCAAATTATTATTAAAAAGTTTGAAAGAAAATATCTGCTATCATGATTTTATTTTTCTTGAAGGTTTTTCTATGTATAAAGGCTCAGTTTTACTAAATGTTAAAGTCCTTCCATCACTATTTAATTAAACAATATTTCATAAGCACTATCGAGTCTTCGAAAATCACTAAAATATTTATGATAGGGACAGATGAATGTATATTTTTCATTGTGAAGTAGTGTAACCTATATCCTTCATAATCAAATTATATTTCATGCAATCAATGACTTTCCATTGATTTTATTAATAGTTTAGTCATTCTTATTCATAGTTCCTTTTTTTTCAACAATTTTCAGTCTATTGTGTACCAAAATAAAAGTTAGTGTATAAAAATTTCATACATAGGTTGATTCCATCAAAGATCATACAAACATTAATTACTAAGATTTTTTTTTAATTACTTTTTCAAACTCACTATATTTTATACCGCCTGTTTTATTCCACTGACATGAAAATGTTTCTGATCTTATTTTTTGTGATACTTTTTTAGGATAGAACCATATTATATAAATTAAAAAAAGCGACCTTAAATTATTATAAGTATATCAATTTGATTTTATTCCAGTATTAAGGCTTTAAGCTTGGCTAGTTATAAAAATAATCATTTATCACTACCATTCTAAGTATACTTGGAATGTTTATTTGATAGAATTACACAAGGCTTTTTCTATAAAATAAGATCTCATACTTTTTATACCATTATAAGATTAAAATACCTACTTGTAAAAAAACTATTGTGTCAACCATATCTAAATATTCACTAGCACTCCCATTTTCTATAAAGGCTTTCTATAGGTACCTAATTATCTAACAATTGACATTCCATATTCCAGGGTTAATGCATATCTGACAAAAGATGCGTCGTATCCTTGTTAGTTGTGAAACGTCAGAACTGTGAATTTATATGTTACAACAGTCAAACTTCCATATTTGACGGAAACTGCATAGTGTACTAACACATACTTTCGTGAAACACTTCACAGATCCTTAGTCAGATTTGCAATTATTTGCAGGAACAGCAACTGTCAATTCATATTTTTAATACTGATTTTAGCAATAGTGAGCAATTTGTGTGCTAGTGAAAACTTGTTAAATCTTTCTAATGACAATATTTTGTAGTGATTTGTACAGTTGAATAATTATGATTAGACTGGAATATATATATTTTAATAAACCATTATTGTGTAATGTGTTAGTTGAACTACATAATTTTGCTTCAGGCTATTTGCACCAGTCGAAATCTCATATTTGAGTTAACAGTGTTTTGTTTTATATAGTTATTTTGAATAGTAATTTACAGAGTTCTAAGTTTGGTAGTGTGCAAGTCTGATCAACAATATTCAGCTGTAGTGTGGAGTTTGTAATAGCTAGTCAAAAATATTACTTTAATGTATCTTAAATATTTATTAAATGTACACATACATTATAGATAATTTATCAATATATTTTAAGGAGTTAATATAGATCACTTGTAATTCCTTTGTTGTTTTATTTTACATTTTTTAATAAATATATACATTTTTAGTACATGTTAATAAATATTAAAAATCACAGTGTTAATATTGAACTTTTCCCAAAAGTTCTATATTAGAGGAAACTTGATATGATTCTCTCAATCTCCTTGTCAGCTTCGGAAGCCAATAATTCAATTGCAGTGCTATTTGTAGCAAAAAATATTTGAGTTGAAAGCACAATAATGTGTTTCTATTCATAATTATGCTTTAATAGTCTCTTTTTCACTATCTTCTATATTCTTCTCTTCAGCTTCAGCTTTAAATTTATCCTGCAATATGAATACGGAATTTTAAATTACATAAGTGTTAGACATGTTAATAGGTTACAAGATGTTCGTGAGATTATTCCATGAAAAAAGACATTCTTTACCAAATCGTATATGACTTTTACAACAAGAGAACAGCTGGGACACGTAGCTACTTCTTCCCCTGCCATGAGTTCTTCCTGCAACATATGCAATTGCATCAATATTTTAATTTGTATACTTAAATGAAGTAAACAAGTCCAGTGAAATAACAAACCTTGGTTATCTGAAAACGATCGCCACATGGGCATGGATAGTAATACATTTCATCATCTTCATCGTACTCAAAATCTTCGATTTCTACTTCATCATGAAATATCGTCATGGTATATTTAAAATCAACTGCCTATTTTATTTAATTAACTAGTAAACCTCCGCTTTGAGAACGAATCACCCACCACGTGAGCAAATAGATGATTGGAATGTCAGATCTGTCAATACTTTAAAATTGATTTTAAGCCTTAATACGTTTGACAAGAAGTTTAAAATCGCTCGCGGGAGTTTCAGTTGCAAGGAATATCTCGTTTCATTTAAGGCAAAGGGAGGTCAGTTCATACAGCCTAGTTTTTCGTTTTATAATGTCGCGTATAGACGACGACGACGAACGATAATGAACTAAAACATAGGTAATACTTCTGTTAATCAACAAATGTGAGAACAATTTCTTAGCGGCTCGTTTTAGTTCATATCTGTTTCATATGAAATTTCACATTATCCGTTCCACTACTGATGTTATGTTTTTTCAATTTTACAAAGTTTATACAGGCGCTTTTTCATTATTTATTGTTCTCTTATTTTGAATATGTAATTCAATTTTTAATATGTATTCAACTGATGGACTTGTATCCAGGTTAAGAAATAAATAAAAAAAAAATTAATTAATTTATATTTTTACAGATGACAACATTTTCTAAACGTCATGCTCGTCATGTTCACTTATACGTCATCCGATTAATTCATTCATTTTCGTGGTAGACGATGATCGCGGTTGCATCTCTATATTTTTCCTAATTTGTTCCAAAACCAGTGCAGTGAGTGAAATAGTGTCAGTGTTCTGATTTATTAGGGCAATTTGTGACAACATCATGTTTAGTTGGCTTAAAAAAGAAGGGGAAAAAACCGAAAGTATAGAGAATGTCGTGGAAGGTCTCAAAAGGATTTACAAAACTAAACTTTTACCACTGGAGTTGCACTATCAGTTCCACGATTTTCACTCACCACAACTTGAGGATCCAGATTTTGATGCGAAACCTATGATATTGCTCGTCGGCCAATATTCCACCGGTAAAACTACATTTATTAAATATCTCCTTGAGCGAGACTTTCCGGGCATCCGTATCGGACCGGAGCCGACAACAGATAGGTTTATAGCGGTAATGTATGATGAAAAAGAGGGCGTAATACCTGGTAACGCGCTCGTTGTTGATCCCAAAAAGCAATTTAGGCCTCTAAGCAAGTTTGGAAATGCTTTTCTGAATAGGTTTCAATGTTCTACAGTCAGTTCGCCAGTCCTACGCGGCATTTCTATCGTTGACACACCCGGTATTCTGTCTGGTGAAAAGCAACGTGTTGATAGAGGCTATGATTTTACTGGTGTTCTAGAATGGTTTGCAGAACGTGTGGACCGTATCATTCTACTGTTTGATGCCCACAAACTTGACATATCAGATGAGTTTAGACGCAGCATTGAAGCTCTAAGAGGTCATGATGACAAAATACGTATTGTCCTTAACAAGGCTGATATGATTGATCACCAGCAACTCATGCGTGTATATGGTGCTCTTATGTGGTCGCTGGGTAAAGTACTTCAAACACCTGAAGTGGCTAGAGTATATATAGGTTCATTCTGGGATCAACCGCTCCGATATGATGTTAACAGAAGGCTATTCGAGGATGAAGAACAGGATCTATTTAGAGATATGCAGTCTCTGCCGAGGAATGCAGCACTTCGTAAATTGAATGATCTAATTAAAAGAGCACGCCTAGCCAAAGTTCATGCATTTATTGTCAGTGAATTGAGGAAAGAGATGCCTTCAATGTTTGGCAAAGATGGTAAGAAGAAGGATTTAATAAAGAACCTTGGACAGGTGTATGATCGTATTCAGCGAGAACAGCAGATATCTCCTGGGGATTTCCCAGATATAAAGAAAATGCAAGAGAACTTAGCGAACCATGACTTCTCAAAGTTTCATCCACTGAAGCCTAAACTCTTAGAAGTAGTAGATCACATGTTGGCAACTGATATTGCACGTCTAATGGATATGATTCCTCAAGAAGATGTGAATATTGTGTCGGAGCCACTTATTAAAGGTAAGAATATTTCAATTAATACCAATGCCATCTTAAAAAAAAACTATTATATAATAAATACAAATCTCAGTCTTTGAGTTAGGTTTCATTTTATTTAGCTGTTGATTACAATGAATATCTTAAGATATTTTTTGCTACCAGAGTAAGTGTAAGTCATTATTACATGACCAATATTATAATTTTCCTACTCTGCAACCATTTAATATGACTATGTTCATATTTAGTAAGTGACTGCAAATTAAATAAGTCATATTCTACACTCACACACTATTTGTCAATTATCACACTATGAACAACGTTACGTATTCTTTACTAATACCTAAACTAGAAGATTATGTTATCAACAGATATTGACCTGAATAAGCAGACTTATCAGTCTGTGATAGTGTAATGTATGTTTGCACTGCTTTTGCTTAGTACATCACTAATTTTAGATCAAAAATTTATTGAACTTTGCAAGTTCAATATCTCAGTTTCTTCATACAAGCTATAATCTTAAAATCTACTTGCAACTCATAATGTATCAAAATGTAGTAGAAAACATAGTCCAACATCTTTAAACAGTCACAAACATATGTTCAACTACATAGGTGCAAAGTTTTACTGCTTTAGTACTTATTGTGTTAGACTCAGTTCGGTGTGTTGGACCTATAGTAGAAGTTTCGACCTACAGTTGAGGTGTTGTGCCTACAGTTGAAGTATTGGACCAACAGTAGGAGTATTAGACCATCAGTTAAAGTGTAGAACCAACAGTTGGAGTGTTTGATGGCTGTTCGGCATCAGAGCCAATTGAAATTCTTAAAAAGCTTATAATATAACATAATCTCAAATTTATAGCTGACCCCTATTGTTGAAGTATTGCATAGCATTTGAGGTTTGGAAAAAAGGTCATCTGTATATTTTATAATTCCCATTTGTGTAAAAACTATACATTTTCACAGCTGAATTTTGTCTTGAATAATTATGCATTCATCTTTTACATTGTATCTACTTATGAGGAAGTTTCATGATATTGATATTATTAATTTAACAAAATGTTATAAAAATGTAGGTTTGGCCTATATTTAATTTAAAAAAAAAAATCTGAAAACAAAATGAAACTCCTTAACAAATGACCAAGTAGATAATTTAAAACTATGTGTTTCCACTCGGAATGTCTTCGGTCTCAGTCTCGCCTGTGACGTCACAGCACCGATGTCATCGTGGCACTACAAATTAAATAGAAGTCTGCAAAACACTTATTATTTTTTGCTTATAGGGTAGGGTATATTAATGGACATAATTTTTTTTTATTTATATGTGATTTATTTTATGTATATATTTTCTAACCTATAAAAAGTAAAGATATTACTTTTAATGTGTATTAAACTTTTTAGATACCAATCAGTATAAAAATAAAAGCAATAAGTAAAGGGTTTGTCTCATAGCGGTTTTTGTATTAACTGTTGACTTTTATAATAGCATATTTACATTGGCCCTATCAACCAATGTAAATGAGTTTGCACTAGTCAGGAAACCAATGACAGTCAATGTTCGTCTAATGCAAATAAGCACAAAAATCTTCCGCATTCCTATTGCAGGATAAGCCGATGACAGGCAATAATTGCCTACTGAAAATATTCATAGATATCGTACGCACTCCGCATGTGGACACAGTCAATGATCGCCAACTGAAATTAAGCATAGAAATCGTATGCACTCCGCATGCGGGACCTAACGACCAATGAAAATGAACTTGCACTAGTCGATAAACCTAGTCGGAACTCATAGATTCGTCAACGTCATGTTTGTCTGTGCATCCGCCAGTATGTCACAGCCACTTTATTTCGAAAATATTAATAAGCACCTTTGTCGTCTGTTTTGTGGTTAGGCCTAAATATTTTGACTTTATAAAGTCCCTCCGTCGAGTAATAAACAAAATACGATTGTAAGCTGCAGGCGATGCTCAAAAACGAACTTAAAATACTACTGAGCAGTCATATTCAGTAGCGTGACGTCACACGATGAGGTACCGCGCTTGAAACGAAATTATTCTTGCGAGCGCAACTTCAAAGTCCGATAACTTTGAATATTTAAGAAAATGTTTTCATTGTTATTTAGATTATGCTTATTTTTTTATTTTAAATAGAAAAAAAAATATATATACTTCTTAGTTTATTTCGAATTTTGAATCATTTGTCCAAGTTGAAAAACCCTATAAAGCATAAGAATATCGAACCACTCATTCAATGACATTCATACCTTCGGCATTTCACTAAATTAGTCATACGGTGAACGAAACACGCAACTTAAATTAATACTGTGAAGTTCAATGAAAACATTTTTATTTTCACTCTTATAAGTGAGTCCTTTTAGAACCGTCGGTTTGGTACCCGCATTAAATGTAATCCACTAAAATCTTCATAAATCATAAATAACAACAATTAATTCTAGTTTCTTCATATTAATAGGTTTTAGAAGAATATCATAAGAGAAAAAAATCTTATAATCATTTATGCAAAAACGTTCGTTCGTTCGTTCCGGCAATTCTATTAGCAATAAAAATTATATGTTAAAGTTAATAATTATCTATGTGAAGCGTAAATTACCATTGTATAGTTTAAAGGTACTTAAAATGGTAAATTTAGACTTTGTATACAATGACGATTGACGATACGACTAGCGAAAGTGTCGACATTACAAAAAACTACACGTTCTGATAGCTGCGGACTGAATAAATTATGAAATTCGTTTAAAATCTAGATAGATTTATTCAATCGATTAATTTATCCTTTACAATTTACCTTTAACTCTACAATGTCGTCAGTACGTTAAGTTTCTACAAAATGCCTAATCTCTTTAATCGATATTAAGACCCTATTCTTCAAATTGATCCTAGTTTGGTCAATTATAGTACTTAATCTTTCATTCGTCCTTTTATGACTACCCACGGTATGGCCGTTGTTGAAGTATTTAGAAAGTTTCATACCTTCTATATTGTCTGTAATTCCCAAGAAATTAATAACCCTGCTATCTGTTACTACAGCTATCTTATTTTCACATCAGCTAATACACGACAACATTTGTACTGAAGTTGTTTTATAAACATTGATTCATACTTTAATTAACCATGAAGAAAACTAGATATGCAAACTAAAAGAAAAGCGATTTCCTCTAGAGTAGTTATTAATTTATAATTAGAGGACGATCGAAAAAACCGTCATCATAACTTGCCGCTTCTTTATAACTATTGTTACACATATCATTGTAATTTAAAAGCGTTAGGTTTCTGATGAGTGACTTCATTTCAGATTTGATCCATAAGAAAGCTTCCGCCTATAGCCCACTCAACAATGGCATCCTCAATGCCAAGAATTCTGCACCGTATGTCTTGGGTAAGATCAGATCCCACACTCACAAATACTCGAAACGATGCTATCCGAAGTCAAAATTCACTTAATCCACTTATTGAAATCATAAAGGCCCAATTGACAATTTGTATTTCAAGTATTTGTGAAGGGTCGACCGCTGAGTAGACTTGGGCTTGGACGGTTTGCGGTATACGTTGTGATGTAGCTTCTAGTAATGTCCTTAACACAACACAATTTCCGCCGAAAGAAATTAGGGTTGTTAGTATTAATTCTGCTTCTACTAGAACACTTTTCCTGTAGACAATATAATTATCACTTATAAAGAAAGTATAGATTGTAATTCTTCTTTCGCTTCTTCTAGATTCGTTTATTAGCTATATGGGATCGATCAGCGTGTTTCGTGTATTGATTAATAATAATCTATTTGTTTCTACTTAATTGTTGCGTCTATAATTTGTGTTTTTAAATACTTTTAGTAATAAGAACTTTGAAACCCACAAATTTGTCCTAAATCGCTTGAGCGGTCATTTGCCGAAACGCCCGATTAAAGTTTGAGAAAGTATTATTATATTATAACATGCTTCAATAAACGGTCGTATCATTTATTGCCTTAAAATATTGCTAATTTCGCTACGAATTACCAAATTTTTTGAACTTCTTTTCTATTATTTGTGTAAATTAGATAAATATTCTAATTATAGGATTATTAGAATACAACAACATTATATCTCACGGACTGTTGAAGTCGATTTATATTGCTATTATTAAATTGCTCATGGTTGTAGACTAAAATAAGTGAATCAGTTTTGATAAGCGCAAATAACACACTGAATTGATGCTCTGTTATTTTGCATATCGTATTTATGTTATAGTAGGCACTATGGTATAGTAGGTAATATCTTTGTTATCTAGCGTTATTTTAACCGTCAGTCCATCTAACTGATTATTCTGCAAAAAACTTTGCAATGCCTTAAGTAATGTACAGTACAAAAAAAATCATATCCTTAAGTGTAAATGACTCATAACTGTTATTCGAACTATGTTGTGAACTATGCTCTTTAACCGACAATTATTACTCTGAGTACAATTCGATGCATACGCATTGTTACTCTTCGTCCTTATGACTTGTTATGTAATATAAATGTTATGGTTAATTTATCGTTGTAGTGTTTCTTCATCGATTAACATCATCAGTTTATATTGAAATTAGATTAATAATATTTAAACTGAATCGTCTTGAATGGATGGAATTTTGAAATACTTCCAAGTAGACAGACTAGACCTCTATTTTATGAAAAATAGTTTAGCAAACTTCAAAAATACTAGATTATTTGAGAGGACATAAAGAGCGTAAATTATTTTAGCTTTACATCACGAACTAGCAATGAAGTAACCACTCATAATTGTAAATGATAAAACTGTTTACCAAATGTTAAATCCGACATACTAAACCATTGATAAAAGTACGATATGTAAGCAGCGCGGGCGCACCTATAACGGCCTTGCGCATTGTGAAAAGTACAATAAATAATGGTTTGTCCTGTCTGGACCTTTGTGGTCATTCATTAAACAATTAAGGTAGTGCACACGTATATTCAAAACATAAATTCGATTAGACTACGTGGGGATAACTATTTGTATTGACAATAGGGACTAGGTTAATGACAATTTTTTTTTTTGTTTGTCCGTCAGGTAGATGGTTGAAAAATATTAAACACTTCTTTTTTGTACAATCATTAAATTACGGCGATACGTTAAGTTAAAATGTCTCATGACGTCACCATTTTGTACATTTTCTAGTAAACCGTGACGTAGCGAGCCCCCACTTCTCAACTTTAATGCCTGTTATTGAAGCTATTTATTTTTAAATTGAAGTAAATGTAATACGGATCTTATATTTTTCTATTGTCCGACTGACAGACTAAATATATTTTTTTAACCCATTCTTTATCCCTATTGTAAGCAATGATATTTCTGAATAATCCAATTTTTCCTCCACCAATTTTTGAACAATTTTAGGAATGACGATTCAAGCTGGAATTATGAGACTCCATATTATATGCAATGATGTTAGCCTTTCATTTCGTATCGAGTGGTTAATAATTTCAGTAAATAAAAGATACCTCCACTTACATTGCCATTCCACTTCATACTGTCATTGCTAATGAAAAACGTTCGAGTTTCTCCACGGATGAATCAGTGTTTCGAAAATGGTTGAATGTTTTTGCTATTATTAATTGAAAGTTGCTATTTTTTACGAGAACTATCCAATTTCATCTCTCGGCAACAGAAGAGGAGGAAAGTCTGGTCAAGAATGACTTAAATAAAAATCGTGGAAAAATTAGCAGGTGTGACGTCAGCCTTGTTAACCAAGGATTGTTTGAAGATGCTTTGTCTAAATTGAAATAGTACGTAATGAGTCATAAAAGGAATTCTATTTGGTAAATAAATATGGAATTATAATTATTGCTATAGATAATTTTAATATGTGGTTTTGTTCCCGTAACAGTTACGGATGTCGACAATTTCTAATGTAGCGTAATAATTTTGCTTTATTACTCATACGGCAAGAGTATCACTGTGTTTACACTTATGTCAACATTATTGTCTATGGAGATTTTGTTGCGTTTCTATTTCAGTTATGCAGTGGGGATATCCTGATGACTTTTAATCCGGAAATGTAATTAAGGGCGCGGCACGTCGTTGACTTGGACATTGTTCGTTAAATGCATTGTTCCTTATGGAATTGAAGCTCTAAAATTTCGCTTCAAATGTGGGAAGTTAACAATTTATATTGTAGTTTCCATAACGTCAGATAAGAATGCAAATTATTTATTAAGAGATATTGTGAAATTAACATATTAAACTGACTTGAGTCATGTTGTGCATTCTAAGATCCTCGGCGAGTTAGTTAATGATTTCATTTTATAGATTTGAATAACAATTTAGCCCATTTGTAACTCCATAATTTCTTAAGAATTAACTATCAATAAAAATAGAACCGCTTGTAAGGTATCTATTTACCCTATATTTGTTAGGTTCATCTATCTCTATACTTTTCATGAATTAGAAATGTCCCTCGGTGAGTGCTATTTCACTTAGATGGGTCCATCACAAGTTATTACATTGAATTTATTGATAAGATCTGAAGTGATACCGCAACTTTGAAAAGTAACATTGGCTATGACACCTAACAAAATAAAAATCCGTGACAATATAGCTTTAGTGGAATCTTATCGGAGTTATTTTATCGATTCGTAGTAACTCTAATCTTTTGTGGAAATATTTATCGGCGATATTAGTTCGAAAATATTATATTGCACGATTGTTTCTAAGTAATACAAAGAATGAATGTCAAGGTTCTCTTTTGTGAGTGCGCTTGTCAGCGTTTATAGGAGCGTGACTGGTACTTTCTCCTGTTGAATTTACTCGTACGAATGTATTTTTGGGTAATTTATAAGTTGGCTAAGTGAAGATGCCAAAAAATATAGTAGTGTTCCTTTTATAGTGAAGTTAATTAATAGAAAGTCTATATTAATAGCAGCAATATTTGATGCTTGATCTTTAATTAAGTCCTTAATTTCAAATTATATATAGTTGATATGTTATAAATATCGATTGAGCTTAGCGTGTCTTGATAATTAGAAGATTTTATAAATTAACTAGCTATTTCCCCGCGACTTCGTCCACGTGAATATAGCTTATATTCCCTAGCAAAATGAATTTCTAATATCGGTGTAGTAGTTTCGAAACCTATTTGATGCAAACAAATAAACAATCAAATCTTTCCTCTTAGATATGCCTACATTAAAAATTGGGCAAACGAAATGTATCATGCAGAAAATAAGTGAAAGATAACATTTTAACATCGACAATTAGTAAAAAAAATCGTCGCGTCATTTGTCAACGTGTACCAGGCGTTCAGAAATCATTGGTAGTGTTGCGATTGGCTGGAACCGTTTACAACACTTCCTTGATGTAGTTGCGGTTGCCATCCGTGACAGCAGCAGCAGCAAACCACACGCGATCGCTCCATGATGTGTTTTACGTAACTACAGTTGATTATAATGATGATTACTGTGCTCCGACTAAAACATACGAAAATTTTAAATTTGGGAATTTATGCTAAGCTATTATTGTTACCTAGTAAATTTCATTGGAATTCAAAATTATCGTAATCCTGATAATTATTATATGCAGTGGACGATGGGCGAATAAGTAGGTATTGCATATTTTATTAGTCCATTGTTATATACTGCTTATATCCCAGAAATATTAAGTTCTGTCAGTGAAGATACTTAAAATGTTATTGTTTATCAAACAAGATGTTACCTCGATATTATTTTATTTGTTTTTTTCTTACTCGGAACTCTTTTACTATTACACGGGACGTTGTAATAAGCTTCAATTTGTTCTACACGTCTACCCGTATCTGATCATATTTACATAAATATTGGTAAATGATATTCATATTTACATGTTAATATTGGACGAGGATGCTATTGGTGACCAATGTCACCTATAAAATTATAAATGTTTCAAAAATGAAACTTTTTTTTTAAAATTAGTAGGTCCATTATTATTATATTTGTATTTGTCAATTTAGAGAATATTGGTAAGTCAAAATAATAGTTGAACTTTCACCTTCTTGCTACTTTCGATTGAATCATAATTTGGTAAACAGCTTTAGTTCTGATGATGGCCTCATCAAAAGACATTGGGATATTTCTTTATTTTGTATTCTTAAACAGTAACTTTCTCAATATGGGGGTATCATAAGAAAGGGATCACTTGTAGAAATAAAACAAATCATGAATCTAAGGTGGCATCGGCAATAATCAACTTTTAGGACAATGTCTGCATTATCATCTTACATATTTATGTTAAAATCGTTTAACTTAATTTTATAGCAAAGTTCGTGTATTAGTTTTGTTTAGGTTGGTCGGTGCCTCATCTGTAATATTAAGCACTGTACCTACATTAATTATGCCCGGGGGCATTGTTCGTACGTCCGTTCTGACATC